GACAAACATTATTTACTAATATATAAATTTCTTTTTTTAATAAATTTATATATTCTTAATAAATTTCTAGTTCTAAGATATATAACTATTATAAAATTTTGTTCAATCTTTTCGATACATTCTGTTTTAACCAGTAACGTCGATCGTAACATGAATCACAATTTCACAAAATACAATACAATTTTCTTAGCTGTAATACATCGATGTATCAATATTTTATTTTTACGATTAGAGTTCAAATTTTTCTTTCTCAATTTTATTACTATTGCTGTACGTTTTTCTCTTACAATTTGTACACGCAGCTTGTATAATTATACCGCTTAATAACAACGTATTATAGTATAAGTTATTTGACACACATCACGCCTTGTTTGTTTTCTTTCTCGTCCGAATACAGGATTACACGGCATTTGTATAAATGGACAGATATCGCCGATCTTGCAGAATGTGACTGTACAAGCTTCGAGTGACAGTTGTTTTCGCTGTTCACCCGATATACCTGCTTATATGCTGCAATCGTGAAGTGTCTTCGTTCTCCTAAAGTCAATTTTGATTCAAACTGAATCATTTATCGATTCGATTCGATCATTTTGAATATAAATAAAACATCAAATATTCGTTCTTATATTATTAAGCGAACAAATTCTATGCTTTTTTCAAAGAAAATTGAATTTTCGTTTTAAATGCCTTAAAATCTTTTTTCGAGTTTTTGATTTGAATGTAAATGCAAAATTATTTATTATTGCTAATTATTAAATGAACAAATTAATTTTGTGTAACTTTTTGCAATCATGGATGAGATATTTATTAGAATGAGAATTATTGTTAGTCCTTAATTCTTAGATAAATGATATTTAAAAATATAGATCAGTAGTTTGTCCGTGATATCATACAAATTGTATTATGTTGTGTCGCAAAATATCTTCATCATGTGACATCATATGAACAATATTATATCGTGGAATATCTCGTCCGTGATTACAAAACGATTAAAAAAATTGAATTTATTGATATTGAATTTAATTATTTAATTATTATTATTATTGTTATTACTACTATTATTAAAACTCTTTCTCATATTTTGTCAATAGTTTGATTTGAATAGTAACATTTGGATTTTAGATTATTATAGATATGAAATAGTTCTCATTAATTCAGTCTCTCTTTTATCTGAAACAGAATTGAATCCTTTCAAGGATACATATCGTAATATCTGGAATAAGTTATATATTTCAAAATCTCGAATTAATCAAAGACATTTAAAATAGAATTTGTATATTAATTCTAATTATTATTTTTATAATATGTTTTTCTATGAGAGAAAAATATTTCCTCTTTTCTTTTATTCCTTAGATTTTATACAGAGTGTTTCAATATAAATTAAATATAAGTATTTTTTTATTATTTTATTTAATTAAATATTTGAAATTTAGATAATTAAAATACAATATAATTGAAAGAAAATTTTTATTAATTTTTTTGATCAAATTATTATTATATTATTTAATGTATTTGATAAAAAATGTTAAAAAATTAAAAAATTTTTATTTGTTAATGTCTTTATTTCTAACATTTTGGTATGAAAATGTTAACTATCAGTCATTTATATAATTTCAATAAGATATATCAATAGTTTCAATTATGTAATTAATTTTGTATAAGTTAGCGTTCTCGATTTATCACTGTAAACAAGTTTAACAGAGATTTACAAGCCTGTGAAATTTAAAGGTATTGAAATGCGGTATACAAAATGTAATAGCAAGTTTTCCAGAAAACTTTCCATGATGAATACAATTAGAATTTGCTATTATTCTGCTATTATTTAATAAATAATTAAAAGAATATTATATTATATTATATATAATATATTAACATGATTGCTTGTTTTTAAAAATATATTATCATCTTGAATGTTATTTTAAACATTATTTGCATAGTATAAAGTTTCATGTACAATCGTTCTTTTGTAATTGTGATTATATCTTAAAATTAAAATTTAGATGTTTTTTAAGGTTTATATTATATAGGTTTATATTATAAGGTTTATATTATATAAGCATTATAATTATGATTTATGAAATAGAATATTTACGAAAATAGGAATAAATTCTTTAAAAAATGAAGGATTTATATAATAAATTTATTTTTATTAATTATTATTTTTCTCCAAAAAAATAAGAGAATACTTTAATTATTAATAGTTATCATCAGTTTTTTAAATAGATTTATATTTGTTTAAAATATTCTTTTCTTTAATATATTTATTATATACTATTATATAATTGTTGTAAGTTTTATTTGCAATTATATTACAAGAATATATTACAAGAATATTTGATTAAATCATATTGTTATGGATTTCATAATTGGTTGTGAATCTTTTGATTTGCTATAATTGAATATATTTAATATCAATATAATAAAAAAAAAAAAAATTTTATGTAATCAGCAATTGATCGATGAAAATATTATATTTTTATGTATTTTTATATAAAATATGATAAACGCAGGAAAATAAATAGAAAATAGAAAAAATTATATATCTATTAGTTTTTTATATAAAATATTGAATTTTGCACAAAAAAAAATAAATAACAATATTCTTAAAAAATTCGAAGACGATAAATTGTATCTTTAAAATTATTTAAATTTTATTTTAAATGTTTCTTATGTTACTAAAAAGAAAAGTGATATTTAGATGTTCAAATCTGCGTTTTATATTAAAATATTCTAAGATGTAATAAATCTTAAAAAAAAAAAGATATTTAATTAATTATTAAATATGATAAATTTAATATTTAAATCTAATGCTAAAAATTATTAATTCATATTTTTATTAATGGAGAAATAATATTATTTATGAGGTAGAATAAACTATTTTATGGAATTTTGGAAATATCGATTGATGATATATGATTTAAATGAAATTTTATTTTATTAGAATAATATTGTATTATTTATTTATTTTGATAACTATATTTATTAACTATATTTATTTCAATAATTTATTTACAATTATATTGTTATAAAATAACTATATATAATCCATCAATTAAAAAGAAGAAAAAATTCAACTATATAAATTATAAATTGATATTATATAAGAATTTATATTTATTTTTAACTTTCAAATGTTGTAAAGTTAAAGCTTCATCATATTTAATTCCTCCAAAAAATTACAATTACTTATTATTGATTAAAATTCTAAAATGTATAGGATATGCAATTTTTTAGTGACAGGAAACATGTTATAACGAGAGAAAATTTTATTATTTTTTTGTCCATTTTTAGGCGATATTACCAATTCATAACTTATATTCTCTTATTCATCACGATAAATGTCATATATAATAAATAGAATAAAATAAAATTAATAATAAAAAGATAAAATAGAATTAATATTGAAATAATGAAATAAAAAGAAATTTCTCAAAAATCTTATAAGAAAAATATATTCATAAAGTTAAACTCATATTATACGAAAGAATTAAATATATTTCATTTAAGAAATAAAAAATACGTAATTATCCCAGAAATTTGCGGAAACAATTTTTTATATCGTAATGCTTTATTTGAGACATCCTGTATATATAATTCTGTTTGAACTATACGATACTTGTTCGAATCAGTCTGCATCAAAGTCAACATTAATAGATACTTTTCATGCTACATTATTCATTTTATGTAAAAACAATTTAAATTTTAATCATCGGATAAAAAATCCAAGCAAATACTTATTCTTGGAGTTTCGATAAACCTGTCCACGAATCATAATCGAGAGTTTTCTTAAATATGATTTCAATTTCAATCTCTATTCAGCTCGAAGATAATTTTTGTGGCGATGAACAATACGCTAACTAATGCACCGGGAAACGGCGGCCACAACATTTCCAACTGGAAATTACCGCTTAAAATATTCACGGCCATATTCGAACCGATATCCAAAGCACCGCTTAAGGGATTACGTAACCCGGATACATATTTTTACCATAACTTTACATTCGAATCGCCGACTGTTTTCTACAACCTGCGCCAGAAAAGAAGATCGATACTATACAAATTCAACTCGTATTTATATGATTTCATGGATCAGTTTTATCTATAAGGTGATTCTTGTTAACATTGCCAGCTAAATTGCTTGTAAATTGCTTATTATATGAAAACGTATTTTAAACAAAAGTATGAGTGATGAAATAAAATACAGAATAGTTATTTATGATTATTTTTTTGCTTACATTGAATTTTTTTAATTTTAATATGTAAAATTTGAAATACTATTAAAAAATGTAAACAATAAATTCTATAAGAGATATTCTTTAAACGATTTTTAATACAAAATATTATTAGGTTATAATTGATATAAATAGATAGTTATCAATAAGTGAAAATAATATTTTTAATCTATATATTCTAAATGTTTTTTTTAGTTTTTACATAGTTTTTTTTATTTTTATTATAATAACACTTACTATTTTTTCTAATTTTAGATAAGTACTAATTAAAAAGCTATTGGTATAGATAGATAGGTTTAGAAACTAGTAATTAAAAAACAAATATAATTAATGTTTATTATTTGCACTTATTGATTTATTATGTATATGTATTATAATACATATAAATATGTTATATGTATATAATACATATAACAATATTTTATCTTGTTTATAATTTTTTCCAAAAAAATTTTTAACAAGATCAAATTTTACAATTAAGAAATTTAAGTTACAATTATGTAAAATTAAATTACTACTTTTTTTTGTACTTTCATATAAAAAAATACTTTTTAGTAATTTAAATTAAGTTGCTGGAGAATCACTCTATATATTGTATATGTTAAAAATAAAAAAAAAAAAAGAAAAGAAAAATTAAAATGAAATGAATAAGAGATAGAATGGAGACGTTTCACGGTAAGCAGCTTTGATATATCCTATTCCTCATTTCCTCCTCATTCATCGTTCATCGCGGTGATACTTTAGGCCAGCGGATTGTCTCGGTTGCAGCATCCTAGGAATGTACCTGTTCGGGGGTAAGTTTTGCATGTGGGCGGACCGGAGTCGGCCCTGCACCTGTGCCGAGGTGGTCTCGCGGCACCCATTGTGTCGCTGTGATCGCAAACATTTCAACGACATCGTCTGGGCACTTGTCACGGTCTTTCAGGTACCACTGTTCCCCTTTCTCTTACACCGAAAATATACACTACTACTGTATATGCTAAGTATTTATAAGCATATGATAATTTTATATCTAATCTATATCTATATCTGTATTTGTATCTATATCTATGTCTATATCTATATCTATATCTATATCTATATCTATATCTATATCTATATCTATATCTATATCT